TCTGCCTCACAATCACCAATATACAACTATTTTACAAATTACTTTCTAAACCATGTATTTTCTGGAAAGAAAATAAAAAGTAAATAGGATAAAGCAAGATTTAGAAACTCTCACCACTCACACAGTAGCTCTCACCACCACCACTCTCACCGACTCCCAGCATGCAAGAGAGAGAGAGAGAGAGAGAGAGGGAGAGCGCGAGAGAGAGAGAGAGAGGGAGAGAGTGAGAGTGAGAGTGAGAGAGGGAGAGATATCATTATAAAGCCCTGCAATACCAAGAGATGAGTAAAGAAAGCAAGCCCCTCCCTCAGCTGATCCAGAGCTTCAGTGCTGATGCTTCACTAACATCTACTGCTGCTCTGAATCACAACATCAGAATCAGTCAGATTACTGCACAAATCAAACAAACAATAACCACAGTATCTGCATAATTTATTAATGCCGCAATGCATGCTGGGAACTCACAAAGCCTTAACATTTTAGCGATATGAAATTCTTTGTTCAGACAACTGTGTTTGACTAGTTGGGACAACATTTGGGGTCTGACAAAGGTTTTTATGTTCAATTCTGTTGGTCTGACAAGGATTTTTATGTAGTTTCAAGAAAACTGCATTTCTTAGTATTTGAGACTCAAAAGGTTTCGTCAGCTGGAAAATATGCAGTTGCATTTTTTTACAGTGCAGGTTAGTGAGAAGTTGAACTCCCTGTTAAGAGAAATGGCATAGAAAAATAAATAAATACAATAAATACATTCCAATGCTCTTAAAACATCTAAATCAGTCCAGCTGCTGGTCTCACTCATTTAGGCTATAGCTGATCTTTCAGTCTGGCCAAGCTGGTCTTATCCATTTCTCCTATGTCTGTTGTTGCTTCAACACTCTTAAAAATAAAGGTGCTTCAAAAGGTTCTTCACAGCGATGCCATAGAAGAACCATTTTTGGTTCCACAAAGAACTATTCAGTCAAAGGTTCTTTAAAGAACCATCTCTTTCTTACCTTTTTATAATCTGAAGAACCTTTTTTCGCCACAAAGAACCTTTTGTGAAACAGAAAGGTTCTTCAGATGTTAAAGGTTCTCTATGGAACCATTTAGACAAAAAGGTTCTTCTATGGCATCGTGAAGCACCTTTATCTCATTATTTGGTGCAGGCTGGTCATAGCTGGATAACCAGCAATATGTTCCAAAACCCAGCTTAACCACCTGTAGGTATGTTGATAATAACCATCTTGGAGCAGCTAAAAACAAACAGAAACCAGCTATAGACCAATAGTTCCCCCCCAAAATGAAAATTTGCTGAAAATTTACCTTGGGCTATCCAAAATAAATGAGTTTGTTTCTTCATCTGAACAGATTTGGAAAAAGGTTATATCACTTGCTCATGAATGGATCCTCTGCAGTGAACGGGTTCAAACAGCTCATAAAAACATTACAATGATTGCCTTGTGAAGCAAAAAGCTGCACTTTAATTAACAAATGACATTTTAACGTTAAAACTGTTGCTTCCAGCTAAGTCGTCTATCCATAATATTGCTTTCTCCAGTGAAAAAGTTGTCTTGTCTGAATCAGGAGAGAAATATGCACAGACCAAGCACCATTTAAGTAAAAAATAGTTCATAACAGTTCTAAACAAATGTCAGTGGATCTTTCTGTGAGAGGAGAACAGGGGATGGATTTTTCACTAGAAGAAGCATTATTATGGATTATTGACTGCTAATTTGGCCAAAAATATCAGTTTAAAGTACAAATAAATTAATGTTGGATTTGTTTCTTACAAACACACAGCTTTTCCATTCACAAGACATTAGTGGATGGATGGGAGTCAGGTGGATTACTTGCGGATTATTGTGATGTTTTTATCAGCTGTTTGAACTCTCATTCTGACGGCACCCATTCACTGCAGAGCAGCATCCATTGCTGAGCAAGTGATTTATACATTTCCAAATCTGTTCAGACAAAGAAACAAACTCATCTACATCTAAGATGCCCTGAGAATGAGTCCATTTTCAGCAGTTTTTCGCTTTTGGGTCAACTATTCCTTTAAAAAGAACAAAGACTCACAAAACTAAGTCTCAGTCTTATAAACCCACAACAGGAATGAGTTAAGTGTCTGTTTAGACTATAAATGTTACCCTGGAGCACAAAAAAGTAGCACAGGTATATTTGTAGCAATAGCCAACAATACATTGTATGCGTCAAAATTATCGATTTTTCTTTTATGCCAAAAATCATTAGGATATTAAGTAAAGATCATGTTCCATGAAGATATTTTGTAAATTTCCTACCGTAAATATATCAAAACTTAATTTTTGATTAGTAATATGCATTGCTAAGAACTTAATTTGAACAACTTTAAAGGCAATTTTCTCAATATTTAGATTTTTTTTTGCACCGTCAGATTCCAGATGTTCACATAGTTGTATCTCAGCCGAATATTGTCCTATCCTAACAAACCATATATCAATGGAAAGCTTATTTATTCAGCTTTCAGATGACGTATAAATCTCAATTTCCAAAAATTGACCCTTAGTACTGGTTTTGTGGTCCAGGGCCACAAATGTAGTTTAACAGTCTTTTTTTTTTTTTCCCCCAAAGCAAGGCCTTGTCCTTGATGACTAGCCTATGTCCTATGGCTATTTCCCTGAAATCCCTCCACTGCTGGATGACTAAATCTATTTAACCAATTATATTGTGTAAACTATTTGCAGGGCTTGTTGTAATTGAATTATCAGATCAAGAGAGGGAGCTGCTTCCATCATAGTCTGGAATGAGACCAGGTCATGAGTCTGCTTAGATGAAAATATGCAAACACCTGCCACAGAATGCAATATGCAAAATGACAATAAAATGAGACGCCTGTCCTCAACCCCACCGAAATAGTGGCGCCATCTAGTGGACGACAAACTGAGCGACACATGCACACCCACAAAAACTTAGCCTATACAATGGACTGCATTTTAATGTTCTTACTAACTTATTGATTTATTGTTTTAAGGTCACACCTGCTAGCTTTGAAGTCATCTGCATGCTGGTAGCGCAACTCCTGAAGTTCGACAAAATTCTACTTTTTCCCCCATTTATATTATCAGTGATATCTTGTGGGCAGTTGCAACAACTTATGCCAAAAACACATTTAGAGTACTTTTTAAGTAGTGCATTAAATGTATATTTTTTTCCAGCTATCAAAATAACGTGTTTTTATAAACTTCATAAAGTCTAATAATGGAACAATCACTCATCGACCGCCTATAAAATATCCATTATCCAGCTACATTCAATAGTCGGAGAGCTACGGTTGCTAGGAAACATCACGCCCTACTGGCTATCCTAACGTCTACTTTCTACGACACCAAGAACGAACCAGTAGTCGGAAAATAGCTTTGGCCCTCTCGTTTTCTTTGCAGAGGTTTGCCATGCAGATGACCGAGCTGACTGATTAACAATCCGACAGCTCTACGCGAGCTCCTTCGTTCCTCGGCTGCTGTGTGGATTATTTATTACTGCCCAGTGCGCTAGACTCGGCTTTATGACGCACTACTCAAATCCAATCAGCGCGCAGCCGTCCTGACCTGGAAAAAAATCGGCATCATTTCTAATTTATTTCTATTCTTGATATCGCTTTGAAATTTGAGAAGGTGATTCTTAGGCTTAATAGGATAAAAAAAATACATATAAATAAATAATATAAAAAACTGAGCCACTGGAATTCGGTATATTTCCTTAAATACATATACATTTAATGCTGTCAAACGATTAATCGCGATTAATCGCATCCAAAATGAAAGTGTGTGTACTGTGTATATTTAGTATGTATATATAAATACGCACACATGCACGTATATATTTAAGAGAAATGTGTTGTTTATATATTAAATATATTTTTATATAATATAAATTACATTAATATAAACATATCCTCCTGAGACCCAGCTATGGAGTTTTTGCCTCTGTAGTGGACATTATATTTTAGTGAATTTCTCTGAGACCTCACATGTCACAGTTTTAATATGATAATGTTTTGTAATTACAATTTAAATCTGATTAATTTTCAAATTGTTTGTCATAAATCAACATCTCAGGAAAATGTTATGGGGTTTCAAATCAAAATATGACTTCCTGTTATGAAACAGGACATCATTTCATACATGTCCACTGTAGAGGACACCAGGACTAAAAGCATGTTTATAACACATTTTGGGAAACAAAACAATTGAATAGGAAAATAAATTATATATCAACGTTCTTATGAAATATGAGATATTATTATGAAAAATCTGGCCAATTATTACTCACATTATTACACTTCTTTTTTTCAATATGCTGTGCCAACAGCACAATACTATGCAAATTAGATACAGTGTATAGATAACATTGTGCTTAATGGGAAAACCAGTTTATGGAATTTTTACACACATATTTCATAAAACAAAATGGTATATCAAATCATTTTGTCATATATTTTAAACAAACCATCCTTAAACAAAGTTAGGTATAAAAAAAATCCTGAAACCTAAAAATTGATTGGTAATAAAAAAAAAAATCCCATTGTTTTTGCCTTTTCATGTCTATTCATATGTGTGTATTTATATATACATAATAAATATACACAGTACACACACATATAGTATGTAAACAAAAACTTTTATTTTGGATGCGATTAATCGCGATTGATCGTTTGACAGCACTTATATATAATATATATAATTAGCTTTTAGGTTTAGAGTTTTGTGACTTTTCAGTCAGATTTTTTTATTTAAACAGTTTAAGTATATAAGAGCAAGACATATTTTAACGGTTTGTTTTTATTATTATTATTGCTGGAAAATTAGGTATAGCTTTTAATATAGTGCACTTTTTCGTCCAACTCATCAAATTATTAAATTGAATGAAAAATGAAATTAAATGAAAAACATTTTAAAAAGATGTTATTCCAATAAGAATTACAAAGAGATAAGTTAAAAAGCCGAGCCACTAGAATTCAGTATATTTTCTTATATATCGTTGAAATTGAGCTTTATAGGATTACATTTTCTGTCACTTTTTAGTCAGATTTTGGTATTTAAATATTTTACATGCAAGTATAAATTTAATCACAGCAAAACATATTGTAACGTTTTTTATTACCGTTGTAAAATTCGGTATAGTTTTTAATATAGTGCTTTTTTTCTTCCATCCTGATATGTAACACATTGCATTTTTACTGTGTTCACATAAAATAAAACATTATAAAATATAATTAAATTAAATTAAATCATTTTTAAAAGCTTTTATTTATAGTTTACATAAAAGCAAAACATATTTTAACGTTTTTATTATTATTCATATTGTTTTATTATTGTTCACATAAAATAAAACATCATAAAACATAACATTTAAAACATTGTATATATATATATATATATATATATATATATATATATATAATCGCGTCCAATCAGAGTTTAAACGATCGCGTCCAATCAGAGTTTAGCTGTCATGTCCATGAGGTGGAAGGTAACTACGGCAAGCTAAGGCGGTCAGAAAGAGCGGTGCTGAGTAAACATCAGCAGGAGTTCATGCTTACTCCTCTGTGCCTGAACAAATAGAGCGAATATTCACCCGTCAGCTGTGATTCATAGCAGGTGAGTAAATCTGCATGTGTATGTTGTTATATCGCTGTAAGATTATGTATTAGGATGTATTAGGAGGAACGCAGAAAAGCGTTCAGATGACTGTGTAACGGGCAACGTCTACAACGACTGCTCTTCCTGTAACTTAATATTTCAGTATTCATATCTATCTTTTTATTCTTTCACATGCTTAGCGTTGATTATATTTAGTAATTGTGTTATTGCTTTCCTCCACGATCTCTTTTGATTTCTTTCGTTCTTCAAGTTCTTCCATATGTCAGCCACATGCGCCCATTTCTCATTACCATCAGATTTGTGGATAAAAATATACAGTTTTTTCATTATAGATATTTTGTATAATCTAATCAGTATGGTTTTGATATTGTGTGTTTGCTGTCATTGGTCAGATGTTCGTCAGCAGTACTGAATGGAGCTGTCATTCTTCTTCTCGCGTGAACTCGTCTTATTCTCGCGTGATTCCAGTGTAATGAGATTGAAAGACAGGTCTGAGCAACCGAGATTATGGAGCTGGTTCCTGCTCTGCTCCAGCTGTATGCTGACTGTGTGGGCTCATGGAGAACCAGCTGCTTCAAATCAAGTGCCTCCACCAATCACCCGGCTGGACAGGAATATGGTTCAGGATAAAGAGTGAGTAGTTGTCCATTACTTCAAAACTTGTTTTTAGGACCTATGCACATATCCAAATCAGTGAAGCTGTTCATGTGATATGTATGTCGATAGTGTTTGTTGATTTAGCTTTGATTCTTTTCTAAAATGCACTCTTTGCCAAATGATATTGTGTCCTGATCTCCGGCTGTCTGTCTGGCTGTCTTCCAGCTAATAACATGTCAGGAAAACAAAGGTCATACTTAATCCATCCTCAGAATTTAGAAAGTTTAGAATGATTAAGATTTTTAAAATGTCACCAAGGCTGTTTATGTGATCAAAAATACAGCAAAAACAGTAATATTGAGGAAATATAATTACAATTTAAAGTAACTGTTTTCTATTTTTTTAATTGTATTTTTCCAGGAATTTATTCCTGTGATCAAAGCTGTATTTTCAGCATCATTACTCCAGTCTTCAGTGTCACATGATCCTTCAGAAATCATGATACACTACCATTCAAAAATTTGGGGTAAGTTTGACCAAAAATACAGTAATACTTTTATTTAGCAGGAAACCTTTAAAATTATTATTTTTTTTTTTAAATGTGACAGTAAGGACATTTATAATATTACAACAACAAAAAAATATTTCAAATAAATGCTGTTCTTTTATAGTTTCTATTCATCGAAGAATCATGTATCGTGTTTTCCACAAAAATATTAAGCAGAAAAGCTGTTCTCAATGTTGATAATAAAAAGAATGATTAATAATTATTCTTATTAGTAATTATTAATAATTGAGTACTAGTAGTAACTGATCAAATCTGAGCACCAGTTAGTATATTAGAATGATTTCTGAAGGATCATGTGACACTGAAGTCTGGAGTATTGATGCTGAAAATTCAGCTTTGCATCACAGGAATAAATTACATTTTAAAATATATTCATATAGAAAATAATTTAAATTATAATATTTCTGAAATTTGAAACACCAGTGTGTGTATATGTGTGTGTATGTATGTGTGTGTATATATATATATACAGTGGTGTGAAAAAGTGTTGGCCCCCAATAAATAAATAAACACATAAATAAATAAATAAATAAATATAAACAAAATATTTTAGTTTGTCTTTTATATTTTTTTCATTCGATCAGAAAAAAAACATTTTTCAGAAGAAAGTGGTTTGGCATAATCTGTCTGTCAAATCGTGTGGTGCAACTAAAATGCAGAAAACATACAAATCTTTCTTGAAAATGGTATAAACATTTTTCAAAATTGTAAGCAACATCAATACAGACAGAGCACATATCTAGGAACAACGTTTTTAAAAGATTGTCATGTCTGTTCATTTTACAAACATAAAATGGCAAGAACAGCATTTGACGAAAACCGTGTGTAATTGATTTCTATCAAAGCTGTTTAGAAATAATTAGAAATAGAAATGTAATTCAACATCCAACCACAAAATCAATGGATAGAACCAAATCCCTGCACTACGTTCATTCTTTCTTTAATCTGATACACTTGGATAGGCGCCACAATAGGAAAGAAAAGATCTGTCGCTGCTTACAGTGAATTGTAACTTTAATCGACCAAAGGTCAGAGTTGAATAGTGACTATTCCACGAGTCTTTAATTGAAGCTTTCTTCTGTTCTGTTGTAGCCACATCATGGAGCATTTAGAAGGGGTGATTGAAAAGCCAGAGTCGGACATGACGCCTCAAGAGCTGCAGCTTCACTATTTCAAGATGCACGACTATGATGGCAACAATCTGCTGGATGGACTCGAGCTCGCCACTGCTATTACTCATGTTCACAGAGAGGCGAGTGATCCAGCTCTGAGCTTGACTTTATACCAGGTTACAGTTCGGACACACCTACGCACAGTTTATTATCATTATATTGATGAATAATATTAACTTGAGAATGACACATATAAATGTTTTTTAAATTTAATTTGAATTTAAATGTAATTTTATAATCTTAGCTCAAGTACACTTGTTTCAGCCTCTCTTTCTATCATTTGTCATGTATTTTTTCTTTATTACACCTATAATATTGTCACCTGGTCTTGGTTTTTCAGGAACGAGGAGATGACGGCCAGCCAATGAGGGAAGAGGATCTTATCAACCTCATTGATGACGTTCTCAGAGACGATGACAAAAACAATGATGGCTACATTGACTATGCAGAGTTTGCGAGGTCTCTGGAGTAAAAGAGGACAGGAAGAGCCGCTGCCTTACTGTGAATGCAGATTACCTCTGATGTACAAATCTCCAGCACATTCCTTCACGTGTGTGCGATTTCACAGGCACAGTATATTCGTGCTTCAGTATAAAATGTCATACAATGAAGTGGTGAGGGTCATGATGAAGTGACATGAGACGTTTTGTATGTATGCCATCAGTGTAACATGTATTCGTTGTTGCACTCACATCTGCATATGTCTTGTCAGAATGGACCTTAATGTATAAACTGCCAAATTTATCCACCGTAAACGAGCATAAATTATGTTATTATCGAATAAATGCTTATTATAAGTGTACCATAGTGATTCGGAATAAGACAAAAACGCGGTTTGGAAGATGAATTGATGATGTACTCGCTCATTATATACATTTTGCAAATTTTGAACACAGAAAAAGTTACATAGTGCTGCTTTAACACTGTCTGTTACTGTCATAAAAATACCCATTCAAAACCATCTGCAATGACTGAATACTTTAAGCACAAAGCATCTACCTATCTAGATTTGGGATTATCTAGATTTACATATAAATGTGCAATATGCCTGTTTGGACATGTACATGTTAATGAATCCCTCTGTAGCCATAATGTTAATTTGCTTGACATTAAAAACGAGTACCAGAGTATTAGAACTATTTTGATGATGTTATGCATTTCTAAAACGGGAATAGGAATTGTATCCTCTAAAACATAATGGTGCTCTGATTTTCAGCTTGCTATTAGAGTCTGAATGTACACAAAATGTCATATGGGTCAATGATATGATGCTCATTTTGTCTGAATTTATTAGGAAATACATTTATAATGTACTTTATCCATATAGAGACTTTAATACACTTCTTTTTCATTGTTTTTTTTTTATAAAAAAAAAAACATTTTTAGGGCATATTTTTAAAATTGTTTAAAAAGTTATTTTAAACTTTAATAATATTTTGTAATATTACTGTTGTGTTTGTTTGTTTTTTTTCATCAAATAAATGCAGCCTTGATGAGCATAAGAGACTTCTTTGAAAAACATTTTAAAAATCCTAATGATTCCAAATTTTAATATGCTTCTTTGATCATGATGTTTTTTTTATATTTTTAAAATAAAAAATAATGTTTAGTGCATAAAGCAACAACAACAAAAAAAAACTAGATATCATAATGAAGAAAAAAAACGCTTTATTCAAAGAATGACATTTTTCAGAAGAAAGTGTTTTGGCATAATCTTTAATTGTTATTCTTTAGAAAAAAAGAACCATGCTAATTAATATTTGGATAAACTTATGTCCGTCAAATCGTGTGGTGCAACTAAAATGCAGAAAAAATAAAAATCTTTCTTGATGAAGGTAAAAAAAAAATGTTTTAACTGTATGTAACCAGCATTACTACAGAGAGCACATTTCTAGCAACTTAGCACATACTGTTTTCAACATTTTTTTTTAAATATTGTCATTGACCCATGTCTGTTCATTTTACATACATAAAATGGCAAGAAGAACAGCGCTTGACATAAACCGTGTAATTTATTTCTACCAAAGCTGTAAATTGTTAGTGATGACTTTAAATGGAAATGTAATTCAACTGTTCAAAGGGTCTGTTGTACATTTCATCTGAGATCTGAGAATGACATTTTCATAATAGTCCTTCTATAAAGTCTATACAGTATGTTCAGTATAAACTGAATCTAGTTAATTGTCACAGTTCAGTGTTAACAAAGGAATCAACATAAATGTGATTATGTTTGTCTAGGTAGATACAGCAATAATTGAGAGAATCTGTTCTGTGTGATTGCAACTGTAATAAAGACAGAAAATGTCAAAAACTTGATTCATTCGGTATAAAACGGTGGTAAAACAGCACTTGCTCTAGTTCCAGTGACTAGTGGTTTCCAGTGTGGACACAGAGGCCAGGGAGAGCACTGAAGTGGTGGCTGGCCCGATGCTGCGCAGCTGACTGAACCAGTCGTCAGGCTGTCTGGAGGCGTGTGATGATGGAGCAGAGCCGGAGGACGGCTGGGGTGGGTATCCTCCAGGGGACAGCACTGGTGAGAATCTGGGGATATACGGCAGTGAATGAGGGCACTGGTACTGCCGGCTCATGGCGGAGGGAGACACGCACATGCTGCTGAAGAGAGGTCCTCGTCCTGGCATCATGCCCACGGGCAGCACTTTCTGAGAGACACGATCCTGCTTGCGCTGCTTGGCACGCCGGTTCTGAAACCACACCTGCAGCCAGCGAAAGACAGTACAGATACAGTAATCAGACAAGAGAGTCAAGGCTTGGCTGCTGTAGCAACATTTCAATTGCTAATATGTTATTATATCATATTAGATGTTTCAACAGTGGCCAAGAACCAAGAACGCCAGGTGTGAGGCAACAAGTTTCCAGCGATAAGTAATTTGTTTGGCACAGCCAATCAGAAATGATTAAATGTGAGTAAAAGTTTTCGGATTTACAAAATGTTTTTACCAATAAAATTCTTCATAGCTGCTATTTTCTTCTTCTTCAGATTTTCTAACTCATGAGTAAAATTAAGAATATTTAGTGTTCTGTAGCTATTCTCAAACATTTCTTAAGAACTAGTGCTGTCAAACGATTAATCGCGATTAATCGTTTGACAGCACTATTAACCCTTGTGCGTCAATTAAAAAAAGTTACACATAGGTCCATAGTGGACAAAAATGTCCATGTCAAAAAACTGTCATAAAAATTTGAAGCTTGGGAGCACAGAGTTAAGTTTGGTCTCATTTTAAAGAAGACCCATGGCAGATTATTGTTGAGGTAAAAAAAAGTTTAAAAAGTGAAACAAAACAAAAGTTCTAGATGTTTAGGTTTATGAAAATGAGTTATGAACGATGTTTTATATCAAATATATATTTTATGAAACATGCTGATCTCTATACCTGCTAGAAAATCAAAGCCATAAATCTAAACAAGTTGTGTTCCAAATTTGAGGTTGATATCTCAAAAAATGAGCTTTCAGTATTTTGTTTGGGCGCAGTACCACATTTTCCCCATTAGATGCAAGCAAAACTCTGCTGGTGCACACAGTGGTTGGATTTGTGATTTCCAGTAGAGTTTCTCTCTCTCAAATATTACAAGAACACACACACACACAATTTTTTTTATTTTTATGACACACACACAAACCACACTCTGACATCCATACCAACACACCCACACAATTATAGCTGCATTATTTATCCAATTGGCTCTATAATATGCAGAAGCAGAAAACAGAAATAAAGCGAGTATTTTCTTTATAGGTCAAAACTGAAAAAATGGCACCATCTGGTAAAAAATAGTAAAAAATTACATTTTAAAGCCTTGCCAATATAATGAAAGCCTATCAACAAAAATTGCATAATTTTACAGTTAAATGGTACTGCGATTAAAAATAGCAGTTTTAATGGGTTTCAATGGGGACATTTTTGTCCTTAAGGTCCTGAGAGGAACAATTTTTTTGTACCTAGTGCAAAACAGATTTATTAAAGGAAATGGACGTGAAATAGCAAAATTCCAATAAAAATACACACCTGTGCCAAAATGTATGCAGTTGGCAATAACACAGGCAAAATGATCAAAAAAACTAAACTGAAAAGGACAAAAATGTCCAAAACGTCACACAAGGGTTAAGAACATTCTATTTTTTTTTCTTAAGACTGTGTTAAAGACAAAACTTTATTAAACAGAATCATTTGAATTCCTACAAAAAAATTTGTAAATGAAAAAAACAAACAAACAAAAAAAAACAAATAGGCCTAAAAATAAATAATCTCTTAAAAGTTAGGATAACCTCCAACTCATCTTAAATCAATGAGTCAAATAAAAAAAAATGTTTTATGAATTTATTGGGTTGTTTCAATTATTAAGTATTACCACACTATGGCTACACATATATATTACTACTACTCTGTAAAAGAGGATTGCTTGAAATTGCAAATAAAATAAACAAAACAAAGATTTTTGGAATTTCAGTCTGTCTACTTCAAAATTTGTAAATTCAAAAAATGTTTAGTTCAACGTGTTACTTGACAATTCTTTGTAATTATTTGTAAAAAAAATATATATTTTTTTTTTTCGCCCCCCCCCCAATCATCAATACTGTAAACAAGTATTGGTTATTATTATGAGTGACTTTTGTGACTTTTTCCTAAATCTGAAATTCAGTAACAAAAAAAAAAAAAATCAAATAGAGATCTCGTTTTTAATTGTATTATTAATTGTGTAATAGCAAGGCCTCAAAGAAAAAAAGATCTTAAGAAAAATACTAATTTTTAATAAAATGTTTGAACTTTTTAGAATTTTTCAGGAATTCAACTTAGCTACATTCTTACGATTTTCTCAAGAAATTATCTCAAGGAATGTCTGTCTTAAGACGGTTTTTGTGAATCTGTCCACAAAAGCAGCAAGCATTATGAAGTCTCTGCTGGGTTTCTATCCACACGTTTTGTTGTGTCACTGTAAATCGCTATCAGTGTGAACAGCAGTCTCAACACCCCAGGTTAGTGTAACTTAAACCTGGAAACATTTCATTCTCAACAGGTTAATTAGCATGTTAGCGATCAGCTGAGTTACCTGTATGCGAGCCTCGTTGAGTTTGGTGGCTCTGGCGAGCTCCTCTCTGTAGTAGATATCAGGATAGTGGTTCTGTCTGAAAGCTAGCTCCAGCTGTTCCAGCTGCTCGTTGCTGAAGGTAGTTCGGTGTCTCCTGCGGGATGGTGAGGGGTACGGTCTCACTCGTCCTCCGCCACCCCGGACGCTCTCAGATGTCCCAGAATCTTTTCTTGGGTGATTTTGAACATCTGCATCCAATAGGGTGAAATTCAAAGAGCCACATTCATTATGAGAAGAACAGAAAGAGTCTTGGCTCAGCCAGGTCTCTCTCTAGTTACAAGCAATTTCCTATTGACAGTGAAAGTTTCATCAAGCACTGACGCCTCTGAGATGTTGGCTTTGTAGGTACACATCTCTCAAATGATGCTCACTGAAGACGGAGGATTTAAGAGCCTTAGTGCTTCCAAACAAACGTCCAGGAACTCAAAAGACAGCAGGCTTTGCCACCTAAACTCAATATCGTGAGAGAGAGGCATGCCAGAGCCCTGAGGATTACGCTCAGCTTAGGCAAACAATGGCCAAAAAAGTGACTAATTTGTCAAATTGTGGGCCTCTTGGTTTCCAGGGCCTATCCACAACATTAGGGTAAAGAGTGAAAGTGCACCAAACTTACCTTAAAAATGGATTTTTGAATGTCATACTGCGCAGTGTTATTTTTGTATCACTTATATAGTATATAGTACTATAGTATATACTATAATATACTTGTTTTTTTGTTAGCTTTTTTATGTCTATATAGTTTTTAGTTTTAGTTTATTTAATTTTAATTCGTTTTTTATTACTTAAAATAATAACAAACTCATTTAAGCTGCTTTTCTTATTTTTATTGTTATATACATTTTAATTTTTTCAAGTAATAATTTTTATTTTATTTTTTGTTAACGATAATAACCCTGACTCTACCTAATGGATTATAAAAAACACACCTCGAAAAGATTTTCAATACAGCTTATTTTTCATTTTCAGCATTACAATTTTTTTACAATTTTATAATTGAAATAAACTAAATAATAAAATAAAATAAACACCTAAAGACTAAACAAAACGTGCTGACTGATATAAGCATATTATGTATTAAAACCACAGTCACAACTTTCTTGAACACTTGCTGTTCTAGTTTCTCTTTAACACTTTTATATCCTCTTTAGTTTTTGTGCTACTCTAGTTTACTCTTGAAAGTTGCCATTGCAGAATGACAAAATTCTTTTTATTTGTAAGTTGCTTTGGATGAAGGCATCTGCTAAATTACTAAATTGTAAATATTTGTCATCAATATTTCAAAGGAGTTCTTACCTGCACTTGAGCTAACGGTGACCTCAGAGTAATTTTCAGAGAACTGTTGCTGAGATTTGTCTGTGTCCATTTCAAACTCTCTCTGGTTTGACCCCCGTCCTAACCGAACTCTGCTTTTTCACCGCTATCAGGTGTGACATCATGGAGCAGTCACACCTCTCACCCTGTGCTGAAGCCCACAGTGACATGTACCTGTCAGTGTGAATTGTAAAATAAAACTGTAATGAATTTAGCTTGCTGACATAATAAGCATAAGTAAAAATGTTCCTAATAAATCTGAGTCTCAGTGGTGCAGTGACAACTGAATAATAATATTGGAATTTTGGAATATTGTAATTGACTATTTCCACCACCAGAGGGAGAGTAAACATAAATAGACACAAGAGGCGACAGTCTCTGGATCCACTTGAGCACAAAGCAATACAACCAAACTAATGTTTCAGTTTAAACAATACATGTTCAGTAATAGTTGGGATCTGGGAATATAGCATATTTAGATTACTTCATGTTTTGAACATGTGTTATGTTATCACCTCATATATTTGAGACCAAATTAAAAGTGATTAAAATAGTCCACTAGTTTATTCCACTTGCTGCATATTATGGTAAAAGGATTAGAAAAAATAAATAAATACTAAAAATACTCACCCTCGGGCCATCCATGATGTAGATTAGTTTGTTTCTTCATCAGAACAGATTTGGAGAAATGTAGCATTACATCACTCGCTCACCATAGGATCCTCCGCAGTGAATGGGTGCCGTCAGAATGTTTCTCACAAACACACAGCTTTTCACTTCACAAGGCGTTGATTGATGAAATGGAGTCATGTGGACTACTTGTGGATTATTGTGATGTTTTATTAGCTGTTGTACTTTTCTCAAAAAGTTGTGTTTTTGTACGAATCAAAATGTACAAATTCACACAAATTCACCACCAGTTGGCTAAAATGTAAAATAGTTATGAACTGCCATGAGAGTTTGTTCCAGAAAACTGTTTTTTTTTTTATTTTTGATTAAACATTAATCTGATTATTTGTTTGTCAAGCATGAAGAATCAAATTGGTTCTGCTAGACCAGACTGAAGAGCTCTGACAGACGGGATAAAGGTCAGTCAGGCCTCAGAGTCAGAGACATGGCAAGTATGAGCGTCATTTTTTGCCAAGGTGGGTGACTTAGTGTTCCTGAGGGAGTCTACAGTCAACCAGACCCGGACTGCCAGGATCTGCCTGTTCTTTTCCACAGTTGAAACATGATTTATTCAAGAAGAAAAGAAAGTGAGTTGCGTTCACATGCTGTTCACTAACCTCAACATTAAACCTCAGAGTAGCTTTTGCTCTGAGGGTCACTGAGGTGATGATGACTGAATGTAGTTACACCTGTCCTGCAGAGAACCAACAGATCCTTCTCAAGTAACTCAGTCTACTTTACTGTGCTCTTTTCAGCAATCTATCTATCTACCTATCTATCTATCTATCTATCTATCTATCTATCTATCTATCTATCTATCTATCTATCTATCCGTTTGTCCGTCTGTGTCTGTCTGTCTATCTATCTATCTATGTATCTATCTATCTATCTATCTATCTATCTGTCTGTCTGTCTGTCTGTCTGTCTGTCTCTCTGTCTGTCTATTCGTTTGTCCGTCTGTGTTTGTCTATCTATCTATCTATCTATCTATCTATCTATCTATCTATCTATCTATCTGTCCATCTGTCCATCTGCCTGTCTATCTGTCTGTTTGTCTATTCATCTGTCCGTCTGTCTGTCTGTCTATCTATCTATCAAAGGAAACCAGCGCACCTGCCTGAAAAGTAACCCACCAAATTGGCTAGTAATTTGACAGCGTTAATTTTAGCAGCGGGTGTTAATTTCAAACACTGCTATCTATCTATCTATCTATCTATCTATCAAGATTTGGCTACTATCTTACATATTCCTTATAATTTTTTTTCTTATTTCTTTTAAAGTTAAGAGATAAAGATATTGAGATACTTAAATGTAAAATCTAAACTGTGAAAGCACATGTTAACATTCTTATTTTTGTCATATAAAACCATTGTGCTGTTCATATAGAGTAGAATTAGTAAGACTTCTGCTGTACTAATGCCTAATGTCTACGACTGCTGTTAAGCATTTAAGCCTTGTGTAAGAAAGAGCTCAAATGAAAAGGAAGCAGATGGATGTGTATGAGTAGGCAGGGTCAGCCCAAGGGCCTGTTCCCAGAGCTGGAGAATCACAGGGACTAGCCAAACTCTGCAGACCCCCAGAACGCTGTGGTCAACCTGCCCCCAAGACCTTCGAGAATTTCCAAAAGTCTGAGGAATTCTGACTCAGACTAGTCTCGGTACAGAACTGGGAGGAGGTTCTGCCTGTGAGGCCCATAGTTTAACCACAACCATACACTCACAAGCACATACACAAACACACAAGCATACATGTGCATGTAACATTTCATTGATATTCAGAGAGGAACTTCTCTTTTCCCAATTTCCTGGGGCTGAACTAAGAGTGACCTGGCTGGCTGTCCTTCAGCCTTGATGGAAGGAATGTAACCCAACACTCTCTGCCCTGTCTTGGTGGCTTGCATGTCTGCGTATGTGTGCGCGCACGAACAACAGGGTGATGGAGACACAGATTCACCCTTTTTTCCATTTATTAAGGAAATAGCTACAATTGAAAGAGATATGAAGTACATTATTTACCAAAAAATATATTAGCCATATACAAATGTACAGTACTTTTGACAAATATGTTTAAAATGGTGTCTAAAATATTGGATTCCTATCATACCTGAAAACAATGTAACATAAAATATATAATATAAAATATAATACACTATAATAATTGATTACTTGCTACAAAACATCTGACGAAATATCAGCAATATATATTTTGCTTATAAAAATGAAATGCACTTTTGACAAATTGGTTTAAAATGATGTCTAAAATGTTATTTTATTCTACCTACATTTTATTCTATTTTTTTACATTTTCTTTTAGATTTTTATTTGTTTATTTGATTGATTGATTGATTGATTGATTGATTAGTTACACCATCTACCAGCAGGGTCAAATGAAGTAATGCTATCAGCCAAACTTTACCTCTTAGTTGGCCCTCATGGTGTCTGCCATGTTAAAATCACATCACCACCTAAATATCACTCATTTAATCTTGGTAAACTCCCCCATTATCACACCATTTGAGTTGGGGAATAAACTACTCAAGGGAGACAAACATGCCTGCGAGAATAGGGTATTTCTACAATGGTATTTGAAAACTGGTATTGGCCAGCAAAAAATAAACAAAAAATGACTTGTTAGTGCACTGAAGACTGAATGTTCTTAACTGATTACAGTTGTTTTTGTGGTTTGTGAAAATGTCATTTTCGTGCAGTCTCGCACACATGGTCTTCATGAAAGACGTCAGTGCTCTAACATCAGACAGATATCTTTAAACTGTACTGGACAGATTTGTGTCTTGCCAACATATATCTCTTTGGTAACTCTCTCATTCGTTTGTACATGAGAACACAGACTCGTGTGCAAGGTGAAAGAGAAAGTTTTATCAATGGAGACTTGTGCGATAATAAACAGGTTTATATCCATAAAGGACTTTATTAGCCTATAAAAGCTGCTCCCAGTGCAGCTAGACAGGCAATTATCCAGCTGTCTGCTTACTTGCTACAAAACATCTGACGAAATATCAGCAATATATATTTTGCTTATAAAAATGAAATGCACTTTTGACAAATTGGTTTAAAATGATGTCTAAAATGTTATTTTATTCTACCTACATTTTATTCTATTTTTTTACATTTTCTTTTAGATTATTGATTGATTGATTGATTGATTGATTGATTGATTGATGGTGTAGTTACACCATCTACCAGCAGGGTCAAATGAAGTAATGCTATCAGCCAAACTTTACCTCTTAGTTGGCCCTCATGGTGTCTGCCATGTTAAAATCACATCACCACCTAAATATCACTCATTTAATCTTGGTAAACTCCCCCATTATCACACCATTTGAGTTGGGGAATAAACTACTCAAGGGAGACAAACATGCCTGCGAGAATAGGGTATTTCTACAATGGTATTTGAAAACTGGTATTGGCCAGCAAAAAATAAACAAAAAATGACTTGTTAGTGCACTGAAGACTGAATGTTCTTAACTGATTACAGTTGTTTTTGTGGTTTGTGGAAAATCACATCACCACCTAAATATCACTCATTTAATCTTGGTAAACTCCCCCATTATCACACCATTTGAGTTGGGGAATAAACTACTCAAGGGAGACAAACATGCCTGCGAGAATAGGGTATTTCTACAATGGTATTTGAAAATTGGTATTGGCCAGCAAAAAATAAACAAAAAATGACTTAGTGCACTGGAGACTGAATGTTCTTAACTGATTACAGTTGTTTTTGTGGTTTGTGAAAATGTCATTTTCGTGCAGTCTCGCACACATGGTCTTCATGAAAGACGTCAGTGCTCTAACATCAGACAGATATCTTTAAACTGTACTGGACAGATTTGTGTCTTGCCAACATATATCTCTTTGGTGACTCTCTCATTCGTTTGTACATGAGAACACAGACTCGTGTGCAAGGTGAAAGAGAAAGTTTTATCAATGGAGACTTGTGCGATAATAAACAGGTTTATATCCATAAAGGACTTTATTAGCCTATAAAAGCTGCTCCCAGTGCAGCTAGACAGGCAATTATCCAGCTGTCTGCATTCCCCCTCCCACATAGTATACACTTTTCTCTAGGAGTGAGAGGGAAATGTATAGTCTGCTGAGGTTCGCTAGTGATGTGCAAACTCTTGTGTCTGGGGCACGAAATGCTGTAAGTGAGTGGCATAGTGGAATTTTCACCCGTCCCAGCGGTCTTGACCTCTCAGTATATGCCTGTAGCTGTCTGGAGAGAGAGAAGAAACACAGGTGCTTCCACGGGATCTCAGATGGGACTGCGCGAAACAGGATACCACCGTCGCTCACAGGCATCCAGACAACACCTCGGCAAATCTACCCAGCCAGACAAACTTGCCAACAATTCGCACACACACACCACGCCAGCTCCGGCTCATTTTCAGGAACTTTCCAAAACAGAAAAGGGGGGAGAAAATATTTTTTTAACTCATGTAAAAAGCCACCACCACAACACTAGGTTGCTAGAAAATAGCCCATCCCAAAACCTCCACAGGATTTTTCCCCGGCTATTTTATTGTTTAGCAACCAAAATTCATACATTCGAACACTTGAAAAAGTGACAGCCCATTTCTTTTAAACAAGCAATTTCTGTCCATAGCACAAAATGGTTGAGTTACATGTCAATGTTTTATATTTAGGGCAAGGGTTTTGTAAAACTCATGAGCAACAATAATAAGCTGTGTCCCAATTCAGGGGCTGCATCCTTCGAAGGCTGCATTCAAAAACCACTGTGGCACGATAAATGCTGTCCCAATTCAAAGACTCCCTCAAACTGCGGCCTCGAAATGCATCCTTCGTTTACCAGGCAATGAAGAATACAACGAATGAATCCTTCATGGCCCAGACTATCCCAAAATTCATTGCACACCAGTGACAACAGGATTTTTTAGAGAACATGTCGGATTACACTTTTAAATGTAAATATTGCATTTCAGTGGTTTAAATGTTGACTTATATTTTATTAAGAAACAGTTTTATTATGTACATGAATGGATCAAGGTGAAGATATTTAGACAGGTTCTGAACCCTGTTTTGTTTTCAGACAGTTTAATATCATTTAAAAAATAATCCAGTACAAACATTTCTGCCAAAATTATGACCAAAATCTTATATCACGATATGAGTAATTTTATTTCACAGTAACGATATATATCACAATATAGTTATTTTTGCTTTAAATAAGGTCTTTATGATATCAAAACGTTTGATACCATAGAAATTTCATAATTAGTGTCAATATCACAAAAAAATAATACTAGCCTAAATTAAAAAACAAACAAAACAAAACTCAAGATCACTGAAGACAAGTAAACAGCGATTAAAAAGAATAAGAAACTAATTACAAGCAATAGGATGAAAAAACTAGAGTAGAACAAACATTTGTTATGCTTACCTCTATTAAATTAAGTGTCTTATTGAGTCCTGTATGTCCTCTTCGGAGATGAGTGATGACCACTTCTTGTCTTTTTATTTTTACCCATCTCTCTTCCAACACCAACTGTGCTTTGAATATTATAAAGATGCCTTCCTGTGTCATTAATATCCCAATACTCCTGCCATATATTTTGTGTATAAACTTTTATTATGGTTTTAGCTCCAGCTTTACTTAATGCAATCTGCAAATCTACTATTTGACATTTAAGAGACTTTTTGTCAAATAAATCCACTTCTTCATTTCCTTTCTCACCTACATGTGCAGGAACCCAAATAAATGATACATTATGTCATCTTTATTATGTAATCTATTTATTGTTTGATATATTTCATTTAGAATATCAAGTCTGCCATGATTTCCCAGATCTAATACTTGTGGGAGCAGACAAACTATCAGATGCAACTAGGGCTGCACGATAAATCGAAATGGAATCGAGATCGCGATTCGACAGAAGCTGCAATTGTCATGCGTTTTCAGTGAAGCAATTACAGAACCGGCTTTACTAACAAAATGCGCATGACAATCGCATCCGATTAATCGTGCAGCCCTAGATGCAACTATACTATATTGTTTTTAATTCTTTGTTCTATCCACTGCAGACCTAGTATTATGGCTACCAGTTCTGCTGTATAAACTGAGAGATGATCTCTTTGTTCTCGTTTTGACCGTTTCCTCACATTGTGGGATGTACACTGCAGCTACTGTGCTACCACACTTTTGCTGGATCTTCTTTATCCTAGTGGTCTTAGTGTTTATACTGCCACCTGTAGGTGTGGAGGAATGAAGCTTGATTATTAAATTCTGCTGGTTTACAGTAAAGCTGCTTATCTTTATCTTTGTACTGTATCTTTCGTTTTTTCTTCACATTCTGCAGAAAATAAACCTTCTTGACTCCATACATTTTCACAAATTTAGTGTTTTATGCTGGTGATGTTTCTGTTTCTGTCACAGCTCAACATGTTGGGTCTGTACAAACTAATCATGAATCACATGATTTCAGTTGTGTTTGAAAACTTGGTCCCAGTTTGCTCACATTTTCTCCCAGTGTAGACATCTAATAAGTTTTATATCATAAATGTTCATAAAAAAGCATTAAAACTGGTTCTGCAGACGCCTACAATTTTGACAGGCTTGGCAACCAATCAACCTTTTTCTGGGCAATTAGTCAACCATAACTTGTAAAAACGAGTAGTTGTGCAAGTCCTAGTTCTGCTTGTCATAGCATTTGTCCTTGCTCTGTGGGTCGTTGTAGGCAGTGTTGGGGAGTAACTAGTTACATGTAACGAAATTACGTAATTTAATTACAAAATAAAAGTAATTGTAATCAGTTACAGTTACTGAGAAAAAATGTGTAATTAAATTACAGTTACTTATTAAAATGTTAAGGATTACAAAGGGGGTTACATCTGCTTTTTTCACACACACTCCCACATACAGATTTAATTGATTTCTTTCATAAATTGCAGTGACTGCTCTAAAATATGAAACGCCAATGTTTCAGGAGTGTGCTTATTCGATTACTCTTTTATTTCCTATATGGGTTTATGTATAGCTATGCTTCATTTTCTTTAAAGATTAACTGTTTTTTTCCAAGGCATTGTTAGATTCCAGTGTTTACTGTCATAGCTATGTAAAGATTTGATCAGTGTTGGGGAAAGTTACTTTTAAAAGTAATGCATTACAATATTGCATTACTCCCTAAAAAAGTAACTAATTACGTTACTTAATTACTTTTTATAGAAAGTAATGCGTTACGCTACTTTTGTATTACTTTTTAAATCTGAGCTTGTATTCAGTGGCGCATTACCATTAAAAACAAAACTAATGCACTTCATCCTAAGTGGCGGTTGTGTACAATATTACATAATACTGCTCAGAAAATCAAAACGGCTTGATAATTGAGACTGTTTGGGATTTTGGGCGATTAAAAAAAAAAGAGTGAATGGATTTTTATCATTGCAGGGTGGTTGTGTCCACACACTGCTAAGATACATTATATGCACACTATGTAAAAGTGAATTTTGCATCCAATGTCTACTTTAAAATGTAAATATAATCTTAATTCAAGTGATGAAGGATTTCGAAAGTGTGACAGTAATCAGTGTTGAGTACTACTGTAAGGTTTACCCTGCCTGGTTTACATGTTTGAAAATGATAAACAGTTGAAAACATTAGAAATTTAGAAAAGTAATCAAAAAGTAATCAAATGTAATCAGTTACATTACTTTAATAAAGTAATTGAAAAATTACACTACTTATTACATTTTAAGTAGGGTAACTTGTAATCTCTAACCTATTACATTTCCAAAGTAACCTTCCCAACACTGGTTGTAGGTTTGTTTCATCGCTCCATCAGGGACTGCTTGTTTGGACATTTTATTTTTTCATGCTGTGACTCAGATCACAGCCTGAAGCATGCACAAACACGACCACACACAAAAATATTCACATGCATAAACATACACAACATCAAAGACTGTTGGAAATGACTTGCAAGAAGACAGAGCATGATGAAGACAGGCCAAGAAAATCACACGTTGCATGTTTTACATTTGTTCACACACAGACACGTAGCTCTCTGAACGTGTGTGCAATTGTGTTTATTTCTCAATGAAAACATTCCCAGTACAGAAAGTTCATTTAAAGAACATAGGCCATCATTTCTTCCACCCTCAAAAGCCCTTGGTACATTAGAGTGAAATCAGCCCAGAGGACCAGGGTATGGTGTGACTGTCAGCCATTTTAAACTGCAGCCACAGTACAGCCCTCTGCGGTGAGTAAGAGTATGTGTGATGTTTGTGTGTATGAGAGGGACAGAGAATGTGTCATTGTGTACTCACTGGTTGCAGGATTAATTAGAACAGCATCTTCAAATCTCCCATCATGCCAACCACCACAACTGCACACTCACAACTAAAGCAAGAAGCATTTCAATCATACTTACTTACACACGCCAACTGAAGGTGATAAAGACACATTACAGACACAATCCTACAGTTTAAATATTATAGACACTGAACAGGCCACCGAAATAAAATGATGTGTACTGAAAAAGCCTTCAGTTGAAATATTAATAATAAATATAATAATAAAAATTATTATTAGGTATCATTATTTACAGTGCCATTTATAATATACATATATTTATACTATAGTATACTTTGTATCATAGAAATGAAACCAAAAGAGTGGAATACATGCCCAAATATATACATGTATTAAACTTATGATCAGCATCATAAAATATCTTATTAACCTTATCTGTGAAAAGTTATACTGAATTATATTTACTATCATGTAAAGATAACAAACCTGGTAACTTTCCTGACATGCACGATGATACAAACAAACAAACAAATAAATAAGCAACACAGTCTCTTTAAAATGAATGGCAAAGTAATTTATGATGTGATAAATTTGTATGAATATGTAAAAACTCATTTGTACTTTTTACAATCAAATCACCAGTGCTGGGTAGATTACATCTGTTACTGGTTTCAAGTTACATGACAAAAATTGTAGTTAGTAACGTAATCCATTACATTGCACATTTTACGTAATCTAATCAGACTACTTTTTGATTACTTTTAGATTACTTTTGACCTAACTTATTTATCACATTGATTTAAATTAACAAGATAATCTTGTACCATACTGATATAAAAAATACAAAAAGAAAGAAAATATATTCCATTTTGTTGTTATTAACAACATGAAATGCATTAAACATTACATTATGTCAAAGTTTCCCGAACTATGGGTTCATAAAGAAACTGCTTTGGGTTTCTGAGTTTAACAAAATGCTATTATTTAATTACATCATTAAAACGTAAAATCAAAACAAATCATGTTAAAGACAAAAACCTTTCAAAGACAAGGTAATACATACATGGTAAAATAGTCCTCTGAGTAATAATTCAAATAAAAATGAATGTGTTCATCAGTAGTTGATACAATGTTGAAATATTGAGAAAACACTTATTAAAACAGAAATGATATTTGTAAATCCAGTTGTCAAATTCTGTGTGGCCTCTCGATTTTCTGTGTAATCATAGCCAGCTGACTAGTGACTGGTCTTTGTGTGAATGTCCACAAAACTGGAAGACCAGAAAACTGGTAGGCTATTTTAGAAAGGAACATTTAAATGATGAAAAAGAAGAATTAGGAAGAATCAGAAAGTTATAAATTATTTATTGCTATTGGGTGAACACTATGTAAACATGGAATCAATAGAAAAGTAACTATAGTACATTTAAAGTGTAATATAATGTAACTACAAGTACTTATTTTTTGTAATCTGATTACATAATCCAGATGTCATTATGTTTACAATAAGCCTTTTTATTAATGAGAACAACAGGGCCCTTTGTTTCAGGTTTTGGACAGTAGATTAGTGTACCCAGACTTTCAAATATCATCATAAAATCTAGTCCACATTGCAGCTTACTCCAGCCAAGAACCTCCTAGACAGGAAGAGGCAGTTTGTTTCCTTTTTACATGCCATTTAGGGGTTTATCCAAAATTTAGTTTATCAAAGTTTATCAAACAAACTCTGAACATTGTTAATGTCCCTTACCTGACAGATACAGTCATTAGTTCTCCCTCAAGCACACTGAATCAGCTTGGTAACTTGTAAGCACAACTTACTGACTCGTTTCCAGACCGACTTTTACACCTCAACTGCTGGTACTTGCTACAGCTAGCCAAAAATATTTGAGCTGCCGATTTTTAGATTGTGCTGTCTGGATTCACGCTCTATATTAATCAGGTCAGTGACTGTGGCCGGTCTGACTAAGACATTTTGAGACACTTTTAAGTAGTAACAGGAATTTGGACACTATGGAACTTTAAAAACTATGAAAACCTGTTTCCACTGAGTTAAAAATGAAAAAGGATAAAAAGGGAAGACATTTTAAAGTAAGAAATTAAATTAATAATAATAATGTCACAATTGTTAGATACAGTCTTTGTCGCAATTTTAAGATATAGTCACATTATGGGATACAAAGTTTCAATTTAAGAAATGAAGCAGCAATTGTGACACAAAGTTGAAATTGCAATATACAGTCAGTTGTCTTAGGTGTAAGAAATAGTCGCAATTGCGAGATATAGTCACTTTGTTAAATATAGTCACATATTATGAGAAACAAAGCTGCAATGTGGAGAATTAAAGGTGGGGTAAGCGATTTTTCAAAAACGCTTATGAAACTGATTCGGGCCGACTAGCAAAACAAACTTGTAGCCAATCAGCAGTAAGGGGCGTGTCAACTCATGATGTGGAGGAGAGAGGGTTCAGTGCACAGGACGGACATTAGCCGAGCCGAGCGACAGAAAGATAGAGATGGCGGATAAAAAACAAAAGAGGAAAACGTCTGCGGAACAAAAGAAGGCTTAAGGCAAGAAGTAGGACCCGTGTAAATATCGGATCAGCTTTCCAGCGCTGCAGAGAACTCAAGGAGCGGAAGGCCTGCGATCGG